CCCACTCGCTGGCCTGTCTCTATCTATAATATACTATATATGGAATTTCTTTTATTCGTGGTACGATCTCACAATTTGGATAGCTGTACGTGGGGAGCTCAACAGTTGGAGACGCCAGGAATCTCTACATATTTGCACCAGAGAATAAGACGAAAAACATTGTTTATCAAGAGGCTTTGAAATGAAAAGTGCAAACCATTCGTACATGCTGTTATAATAACTTTTTGTCATTTACACCATATTACTATTATGTTCCAGGGGTTCTAAGTTGGGTTGTGCTGTGATATAAATGTCATACGTAACAGTTTTTTACCATGCTTATTATCTTATTAGATTGATTTGTAAATATTGATATTGTGTGCAATGTTATTCTCCATTTTTACCCAATGTTCCTATTGTGTCTGATTATTAGTAGTATGAATTAGTAGCACGATTTTGCAGAGCAGCGGGTACTCGCAGCTAGTATTAAATAAAGGGTGTGTAGAGTAAATTCCCCACCACTGCCAGAGTGACAGTTGGTGGATCATTGAAGTAGACTATGAAGGCAAACTTTTAGAGCAATAAAAAAAACTATATACCCAATTGCAAGGTTCAAGCAAAAAAGCCATCTTTTCTGCCGGACTACTAACTGAACTTAGCATTTATAGGTACTCTAATCTAGCATAATCCTCATTTAGTTGGCATTTTTGTTGAACATCTTAATTGTCATTAAGTATATAATAATTACCACCACACACCCATGTGGTAGTTAACTACTAATACATCGCCACAGATGGATAAAAATAATCACGGGCAATTCAGCATGCGCAATTGATGGACGCACACGACAATGATAACTAGCTGTTGTCGCTAGACTAGGAAGAATCCAACCATTTTCGCGTGGTCGCAAATTTTCTCTATCTTCACTAATCCTCGCTGTGAAAGATGGTCTGCCGTCCGTCTAATCAACGTAGTCGACTTTTTTCGCGTTGTTTTTTTGCTCGAAGATTCTATAGAGCAGACGGTAGATAAACAGTTCTCGGACTACCTGGCTAACTTGCAAAATGGCGGCTGGCCACTGACGATGCCTAATTGGAACCGGTCTACGTTCGACTTGACGATGCTGATAGCGCAGCTGAGACGGGATGGCTTCAACTCACAGCTCGTAAACCTCGCTGTAGATGTCGATGCTGGCAACTCGTCACGCTACATTCTAAACGTAAGAGCCCGTTGTGTGTGTGTGTGTGTGTGTGTGTGTGTGTGTGTGTGTGTGTGTGCGTGTGCGTACCAATGTCCTACATCGCAAGTGACGCGTGGGATTCACATGTGAATTAGAGTCAAACCTAATAATCACACTGCGGCTGCTGCGGTTATCATTGCCATTTGCGAGGGTACATGATTCTGCCACTAGACAATAAAATTACCACAACTGATTCAATCGGCAAAATCGAGAGAAAACAGGAGCAGTGATCAGGAAAATGTCGGAGTCGGCAAAAACATTATTATATTTGAATTTGCAGTGTGTTCTGTGGGATGCTATGCCAGTATTTGACAAGCCTCAGATAATGTTTACATAAAAACGTCAACAATAATTATGTCGTACAACGATAGACATGAAAAGGTGATAATCGTAATCGACATTGCCGCTTACATAACAAGTTTGCATACCAAATCATAATCGCATCTATTTCTCATTTGAATGCCCGCATGACTTTTGTGCGGGCTGTGCCCTGCATTTTATAATACCATCTTCGTCCCGCCATCTCACTAGCTATTAATGTTCGTATACCGTAAATGCACTGAAGCTTGAGAAACACGAGTAGGTTTCTGATTACCGACAACTTAAATCTGTCGTTTAACCTGAAGTATACAGATCAAATGAGCTATTAGGCCATATTTATGTACGCGGGTGTCCTATGGCATTTCTCTTAATAGGGAAGAAGCAGTTAATAACAATTCCTGCCATTATTCTGCCTGATTGGCCGCGACTCCCCTCTAGAGGGAGAAAACTCGTTTCACGGTCGCTTGCCGCGTAATCACCGCACGACGTCACCTGCAAAACGCGGCAAATAATTCACATTTTTTCAGAAGAATCGCACATAGAGAATACGAATATAGAACTTATTGGATATGCTCTTTTGGCACGCGATGTAACAAAACGGAGTTATTGAAAGGGAAACGCTTGTAAATATTGCCGTCATTGGAATCCTGTCATAGTTTGCATTACTCATATATGTACGTATGTTCTAACCTTGCAGGCGAAGATGAACAAAGATGAGACATCGGTGTCTTACCGGTAAGCAGTACGATGATTCGATACTAATCACAGAACCGCTGTCAGAAACATCAAGAATTGTTAGGATTATCATAAGGCTAAATTGCCGTAACTTTGTTTGTGACACCTTACGTTAAAACTTATGACATTATCACACGTACTTATGATGTTTCTGGCAACGGCCCTGAGATTTCGCGAATGCAAGAAGGAAAGACATGTGCAGGAAGAGAGAGAGAGAGAGAGAGAGAGAGAGAGAGAGAGAGAGTGTGTGTGTATATCGCGTCACCTATTTCGATTCAGTCGGTCATATGACAACGCGCAGTTTAATAGACAGGTTAATGCATTTGATCGCAAAAGTAAGTCGCTAAGTTGTCCGTATACCTCCTTATCGTGGCGTTGATGCTTGAACTCATTGAAAAATTAAGCGACCGAAAGGTGGGCGGAACTATAAAGCTGCTGCCGGGCGTGTTGAGAAAAAAAACAGAGCACGCGACCGTTGACGTTCTCGCATCGTCGAGTGGCCGCAGGTGTAAACACTTAATAAAGGGCGCATCACGCGCCCGAGATGCGTGCTGCGCGGATGAGTATCAGTTCAGAAGAAGCTGTGCAGATGCTCAGAGATCGTTACGGCTGAATCTGGGAGAGGTCGTCGGAAAGCCACGCAGCACACGGCAGCGCGCGCGCGCCTATAGCACCGAACCCGCTAAACTTTTATACTCTTAAACGGCTGACTGAGAAGCCGCGGGAAACCGAATGTGTTCTTTATTAGATTATATCATCTTCAGGGCGCTGTGTAGGCGACAGATGCGGGCAGGCCAGCGAATGTGTGATACTAGTACGTCGCATGATTTTGTAGTAACGTGTGTTCTATCTGTTTGTCTTTCTTTCTTTCTCTCTCTCCCTCCTTCCCCTTCTGTCTCCCTCTCTCGGTCTCTCTCTCGCTCGCTCACTCGCTCTGTC